GCAGGGGAGGAGAGAGCATAAATACCTTAAAATTGTATGTAAAATTTGCATATGTGCATCAGATTCCCAAAAAGGTTAAAAGCCATTGGCTAGATGTTGTGCATTAATAAATCTTTGACATCTCCCATTAAAACAGGGAAGAGCTTACTGTAGACGAGATTATTTCCTTTCCGGTAAAAATAGATGGCTCAATAAGATGATCTCTAGGGTTTCCATCAAGTTTTAAAATCTATTATATAAATGCTTATTAATCACTTGTAAAAGTTACACAGCAAGGGCTTTCAAAAAATCGGTTATTGTAAACACGGAAGTGCAACTTTTAGTTTAGGAGTGGGACTCTGTGTCTCTGAAAACACAATTTTAGCTTCATAAAACACGTTCCCACATGTGAAATGCCATCATGAACAAACGTCAATGAATCCTGCAAACAGTTAGCCTGGTGCTCAATTCTCATAATTTACAAGGAAGAAAAATATACTCATTGAAATCTTATTATTTAAAAACTTAATGCAAGTCCCGCACTCATTTATAATACCGCGAGGTGATCTGCAATTTTTCAGTAGCCATTTTGACAATACAATCACCTTTAGCATCGGACGCTACTATGAAAGGGACTTTGTGTATTTTTTTCTAACAGAAGGAAATTTAACACAAAGGACTAGTTATCTGAATTCGGTTTCCATCTAAATGTCTAAAATGCAATATAAAATATACTGTTCAATAAGTAAATACCAAATAGTAAACTCATTGTAGGTAATGGTTATAATGTATATATTTATAGTTGCTGGCAAAGTATTAAAATGTCAAGAGTTAACTTTTCGACAGACATTTAAGATTAACAAGCTGAATTAAACATGTTAAAAAATAATAAACCTAGCTTTTATGAACTCTTTAAATAAAATAAAACAGAAACAATATATATATATAAAAACTACACTGGGAAAAATAAACTAATCTCTCTGAAAATAAAATCCGAAGGAAAAAATACTTAGAATTCAAGTTTACTATCAATTGAATAGGATTTTTAAAATGCAATAAAATCTACCCTCCTTGAAAATTTCAACAATTCTTCCATTTAATTTGTACGTTACAATTATCCTTCAGAGTCAATTGTGATAGTCTCAAAAGATTTGGAAATATATATGTATTTGTATATTTTTCTCTCATACCAACGTTATAGGATGAACAAAATATTTAATATCTTCTTTACGAAGCCGTTAGAACCGTAGTCCCGCATCTTTAAAGTTCTGATAATTGTTGAAGAAACACAAGTTGTTCAACTAAGACGTATATATCAGTTAAAAGAAAGTAGCAAAATGCTATCACTCGTAAGTTTTAGCTCCAAGACAAAGCTTCAGGGGAAACTTGTATAAGGTCAGGACGAGAAAGCTTGGAAATTCTGGTGCTAGGCTTCGTCTTGGTAATTCCAACTACCCTTTCATTTTTATTTCAACTCTAATAAAATTAATATATTAGTATACACCCACTACGCAAAGTGTTTCACCATACAGGCAGAAGTGAGTCAACCAAAATTTCACTACTCATACATAATTTTGATGTGGTTTTTAAAATTCGTTTCAACAGTTAAGCACTCTGAATGTACAGTTTTATACTTTACTTTTTCTTTCATGTAATACAAGAGTCTTTCTGATTTGAAAGTCTTTCGACAGAATCACAAAACTCCATAACTATATTTTGTTCATTGACTGCATAGTTAGTAGATGCCTTCTGTGTATATATACATGGCATTTGATGGTCACATAACATTCAGTTGTATTAACAGATCACAATCCCCTTCACCACTTCCCTCATGATGGGTGTTTAGAGCATCCATGTAAATTGCTCAGGTGTAATTCCAGAAGCACCTGGTTATCCCTGCTTCAAGATTCTGATACTATGCTCATAGTACCAAAATTCTTATCATCTGGTCATATCAGTAGTCAGGTTCTATACAACCTCAGATCAAAGTCAAACCTAAATTATATCAATTTTTCTCTTAACAACAAATTATCACCACCTAGTGGCCAAAAAAGGAATCTCATCCCCTACAAGGTTCTTGACTAAGTCAATTGGATCTGGGTTCTAGTCTGAATTCTATTTTACAATAGCCAGTAATCTCTCTGAATTTTATTTTCATCATAACTGAAATGATAATAAGAATTTCCTACTTTTCCCATTACAAAGCTCGAGAGACACTGTCTATGAAAACAACTCGTATAATGTAAACACTAAATATGAAACATTACGATATATAATGGTGATTCAAAACCTGTTGACTGTAACATGCATGTCAGCTAGTCTAGTAACGTCGCTACCGTAGACCCTTTTTGAGCACAAAAGTGTACACAGGAAAAATGATACGCATGCTCCCTTTTGATTTCTCACATTGTACAGAAAATACCCGAAGGAAATGAAGAGTTTCAAGATGGACATAAACAGAGAGGCAGACGATGCTATAAAACGTGCTTGCATTCTGCACACTGGGCGCTCTCGACATATTAATAGAACCAGAAGAAGACAGGATAGTGTAATGTTATTAATGTTCTCAGAATACAGGATTTGAACTCGAGTGTTATAATAATTACATTGCCAACATTCAGAAAGTAATTTGAGAGTCACTCTCTTATTGCCTGTGTTTCCTCTTTTATCATAGCCTCTGTAGAATCACGTGTGGTATCAATATATAAAATCAAATAAACTTCTTATATCCGATATTCTTAATGTGGACAGCGAGGATTCACAAGTGTCTCTAAGCAGCACAGTTTCACGGAACACGCCCTATACACCTGACGCTGGGGTAGCGGGGGACCGTTTGCCCGGTTCTTCCCATCTAACCAAAGTTTACTTATTTTTTCATTAACAAAGCAATACGTTTCCATCGATGAAAACTAGGAAACGAAGAATTTGTTTTCACAGCTAACACCAGCAGTCGACTACCATGTCTTTAAGTATAATCGTACTCACCCTCATGCTCCCCAAATTTTGAAACGAGAGTACGTGTTAGTCTTTCCTCATCCTTTCCTGCTGGATCTGTGGCATTTAGTCCTCTTGCTATTCTCCTGGCTCTCAGACTGGTCGGCCCTCCGTGGCGTTGTAAGCGTAATCTTTCCAAAATGCACATTTGATCACATCGCCCTCTGTATATAATTCAAAAATTCTAGGGATTGGCGTGCATACCAAACCAGTATTTCCTGAGAGATGCGGATGTGTCCCTTGCTTTTTTTCATGGATGTTACTTCCCTACTTGTTGACCACTCATATTCTGACTCATTTTTTAAACTCAGTTGGAAGGTCATCTCTTCTAAGAAGCAGTTTCTAAATACCCCAGAGATTTACTTGTTCTTTCCTCATGGCTCCCACTGTACCTTGTACATATTTTTACAATACTAGCATTGTATTAGAACACTTTACTTCTCGATCTCCTTCATTAGACTGTAACATTTTGATCGTTTTGTTGGTACTCCAGGGCTTAAAATTTTTATTAACAATTTGGAGACTGAATTTAATAAGAGAAGTACCGTTTCTGACCTGGCCGAGCTACGCAGACAACCCAGAAAAGGTTGGCTACCATATACTATAAAAAGAATTGTTTTTCAAACTAAGTTTAATAAAATGCCACTAATCAAAATAAAACCACGGAAAAAGATTTGGCTTCCACCGACTCAAATATAGAAAAGTTTTGTTTACAAAGTTGCAGTGGTTGTGATTATAACCTCCGAGACAAGGGTTCCATGAGCTCATATTGTATAATATTAAGTCAGAAATTTTAACACGTATTAAACAAAATCAATGAACACAATTTGGACACTTATTATCTCTATTTTTTTCCTTTTCAGTCTTAACGATTCTCTATTTTTCCTTTATAATTAATTTTTTAAAATAACCTAACTTTACTACGGTGTGTGTGTTTAATAAATATTTTTTCGGAATCTCAAATGCGTTTTTCTTTGACTTCCCACTGAATCCTTTCTTCATTCAAATGTTATGAGTAGCACTTAAATCTTACTAGCTTACAATGTACCGTAATAGACACTGCGCGAAAGCATATAAAACAGCAGAAAAATATTAAGCAGTAACTTCTGTGTAAATCACCTATGAGCGATGAAAAGGAAGAGGAAGACACAGCATGGATACCCCGATGGAAAATAAAAGCCAGTAGGGAAGAAACGATGAGCTACCCGTGAGTCTGTGATAGGAGCACTGGTCCAGGTCCGGTCTGGCCCATCTGGGGTGACCACGGGGCAGGTGGAATCGGCAAGAAAAGATTTTCATCGTTACGTGCCAGACGCATTTCTAAGTATTTCAGATGAACTAATTCAGTTATCACAACTCTAAAGAGGTTAAGGAGATTCTATACCTACAAAGTAGTGGATCAGGGGTTAGAAACCCGCAGTCTGAGTCCAAGGCCAAGTTGTTCACTATGTTACACGGCCCTCGGCTGCATTAGCGCACTTGCAATTATATCCATAACTCAGGGAATGTATGTATAAATACTCTAATGCATAATATTCTAATAGAGGTTCTTGTGCCACCTTTTCAAATAAATGAGATATTCAGTTAGATCGATATGACAAATAATTGCAATGAAAATTCCCTACGGAACTAGAATGCTATGTTCTCTATGCATCAAAGTTAAGCTATGTGAAGAATCCAGCAGAGACAAAAGGAGGTTCTATAACTAACGTTGTATAGAGGTCAAGAATCATGTGTATTGTGGGGCATATGTTTTAATTCCACAGAGTCGTTACTGAAGATTTACATTCATTGGCTAGTTAACTAATAGTACAGGTAACAAGGACAAATGACCATGGACTTGTGCTTTTGTAGTCTCTTTCACATTTCAAGCTAGGGAAGAGGCTTTCTGGAAGTTAGATTATTTTACGAATTCTAAAAAAATATTTTTTTTTCATTCCCAATGTTTTATATTCATGTAATAACATATGTAAATATTGTATACATTTTAATGATTCTGTAACGAATTTCAAATGTTATAATTCTATAATAATAGTCTATAAATTGTCTAAAAATAAATTTTTGTTGTTATAAATTCAATGGAGCTTTGATAAAATACTGACCATATTACTAATTGCTTTACAGATAAAAGTATCTGTTAACAAGATGGTCTTTGGACTTCAAAGAATAATTAAAACCTTCCATGATATGGTAGAAAAAGAACCAAATAAATTCCAATTAAGGCAAAGAATTAAATGTAAAATAAATAAAATTATAGAAAACCAGTAGAAGATGTATTTGAATATTTATTCAAGTTCTAGAGACCTTCCTAAAGTATTATTAGATAAATTATTAGAAAAAAATCCTAAAAGATTACTAGACAACTTAAAAAAGCTTTTTTTGTGTGTCAAAATATAACAAACAGAATTGGAAGGAAAATAACAAGTGCAAATTAATTGCCACTTTTTCTTTACTTATTTTCAGCAAAGATTTTTTTTCACGACAATATGTATTATTCAGTGAGGGTGTAATAAGATGGACGTTTTAATACAGGTGGTAAAAGTGTCAACTTGTATAATTTTTTCGTGAAAGGAATCTGACAATATTTATTAAGTCTTAAAAATGTTCAGTTAAATGGAAGACTCATGGGTTTTGAAATGAAATGAAAATCTAGATTCAAAATTCTTAACTCTGACTTTACAACGATCCCGTCTCTTTTCAAAGATAAACAAGATGGAGTTACTGATGGATGTGGGGTAGCAGGAGGGACAAGTAGGTGGCAACTACAATTCATGGGACAAACTCTTTAACGTACGTAAATTAGCATACTTTCTACTTTTTTTATGTGTGATGATTTCGTAGTTTTACGTTAAAGCAATTTCTTATCCTAATCTCTCCTTTTCCCACTCATCCTATTACTTCCAGTTCTCGTTACTTTATAATGATAAATTCAGCATCTGGTTTTTCCACATTCAACTTCGCATCTCTTCACTTACCCCTTGTGCCAGAAAATTTTTCTAAAGCACAGTTCTCATTAACTATATGACTCAAATATCTTCTTTAATCATTCCTCACTAATTACCCGTAGAATAAAAGATAAAAGGGAAACCAGAAAGCATTTATCGAGAGCCTAGACGGAGCCGAGTATTTTACAAGCATCGTCTCCTAATAAAAACAGTGTATTATTATTCCCACTTTACAGACGGGGTAGCAGAAATTCGGCGTAGGCAGCTAGGTGGCGAGCCCGGTGGACTCAGACTGGAACCAGCTCTTGCTGCTCTATCATCACGCTCTTCAGCCTCAGTGCAGCTCGCAGAGTCCATGAGGCATGTTCCATTCCGACCGCAAACTGTCCTCTAAAACCACCCAACGTTCAGATCGATAAAAACAACAAGCTCTACCTTTTGCACTCCTAGGAGCCGTTCATACCATTGTCTACACCTAGACCTCTAAACTATAATAGTTACATTTTTATTTTATTTTAAATGAAATAAGCTTTATTTCATTTAAAATTTTATTTACCTGTGCCTCTCACAATCTCAAATGCCCCTGCTACCTTCTTATTAAACTCTTCTCAAACAGCCTCAAAGACATCTGATCTCTTCTTCATCTGAATTCCTGTGGTATTTAATTACTTAAATCATCGATTCGCTGATCACGTCATGCCATGCATTATAAACCTCCTAAGCATTTGCTCCGTGCCAAGAATTGTGGTAGCTCCTGGGAAATAATAATAATACGCATGATCATTCTCTTGGAGGAGCTGTCAGTTCTACTGCTTTAGGGCACACATCGCTGGCCTGCTGGCACTATCTCACCACGGAGAAGTACCTCCTGGGCTCTCGTAGGCTATAAGCGATTGTGAGATAGGTCCTGTTTTATTTAGCTGAGTGTCCCTTCGAGCATATAACATAGTGCCTGGCACACAGCAGGAACTTAGAAAAGATTTGGTAAATGGTTGAATGATGGAGTCGGTCATACAGTCACACATTTCGGATTCCGTCTTGTGATTATGCTGTATCATCCCCTAGACTGAGTTGGGTGCCCTTCCCTGTGCTCCTCCCAGTCCTCCCATCATGATTTATACTTATCTCTATTAGAGTTAAATGTAGCTGTTAAAACACAGACACACAGAAACAGAGAGACACAGAGGTAAACATAGATGGGGAAACAGAGGCACAGAACAGTGGTGTCCCTGGGCTGGAGGACACTACTGTAGAAGTTGCAAGCAAGGCAGAAAAATTCATAGTAACACGTTGCTTCTCAACTCAATGAATAGTTCAGTGCTTCAATAAACGCAAAGGAAGTTTACTAATTTACGCAAGTTCTGTCTATAAAGGATTTCGATGTGCATTTTAATGTTATTTAAAACATGACAGAGATAATTTGCTTTATGATTTTATTAAACACAACTCATTATAGTTATATTTAAAAGTAAAATTCTATGTTCTCTGCCAGCCATATTCTAAACAGCCAATCTTATTTTGTATATATTATAGAGATTTTATAGTTTATGTATTGGATGATTACAGAAAAGGGTAATAAGTAGAATAAAGGGTTTATGTAAAGGCATGTTATATCCCCTTGGGGAAAGAAATTGCTAAAGATGTTTAACAAAACTTTATACCTTATTCCTGTGATATTACCGCTGAAGAGTTTACTGTTCATGAACTTGATGTTCTATCTTAATCATGGCAATATAGCTTAAACATATTTATAAAACCTAAGCTAATTAAAATAAATTGTTTTTAAAATTGAAATGAATAACTGAAAATTAAACACGAGATTCTCAAATTACGTGATTACTAAGAAGAAAGTGAATTCAAGTTTCATGAGCTGTTGTTTAGAATTCTAATATCTTTAAATCTCTTAATAAGTTTATCTGAGATTGTGAACAGGTCAAATGATATACGAGTGCTCCTTAGATAATATTCCAAGTGAAGTTCAATGTATAGAATTAAGCAAAAGTGAAAAAAAAATTAAATTACCAACATTTAAAGGTCTTACCTATTAATATCCTGTTTTTCTTGATGCCGCTTTTGACTTCATCATCAATCAAATCTGTAAGCACTTCACACATTACGTCGATTGATTCCAGGTGTTCTGGGCAGTCATTAGATATTTTAAATCTGTCAAACCATACATTGGAGAGTCCTCCTTTCATAGGAGTATATGGCCTGTTTAAAACCAAAAATGTGAAGAAAGAGAGAAAAAAAGGGAATGATATTAAAATGGATGTTTTACTTTCTAAAACATTAGTGTTTTGAACAAATAATTTTAATTTCCTCCGTTTCACAAGTGAAAAAATTCATATTAAAAGTATCCCCATGCATATTGCATTAACTCATCTATATTTATACTAATTTATTAACATTTACTAATGCCAGTTCATCATCTCTATTCTCTTCATCTATTAAGATTCATAAATTCCCCAGAAAAACCCTACAAAAAGGGAATTTTTTATACATATATTATGTATGTATATGGTGTGTATGTATATATATTTTCTGCTCAATTTTAAAAAACAACTAATCAGGTCTACTTTTTAAACATCTGCTTCAATTTACTTTTTTTCCTTTAATATAAGAATCAATAGTTTAGTATTCACAGCTAAACGAATAACGTTTGTCCATGAGCAATATTCAACCCCTTAAGAGTGAAAAACTTAATTCAGCAAAATGCTTTTAAAAGCATTTTGTGGTTAATTTGTAGCGCTCAAGTATAAAAAGTGAGTTAACAATTAAGGGCTTTCTCGATCACGTTCAGACAGATCCTGCTTAGAATGGCGGCGGGAGGGGGTCACTTCTGTTTTTTTTATTTTAACCAAGATTTGGAACTACTTTTTTTAATCTTCTCAGGAACCTTGAAGTGAGAGTTTGACAAGAGACAACTAATCTTTGGCAGCACTCGTCATACAGATATATTCCATAGTCTATG